GACGTGTTGGACACACCGAGAAAATCCTGGCTGCAGCAGTGCAATGTGCGACTACTTTCGCTTGAGCCGCTCACTTTGACCAAGGATCCGCCCCCAGACAGGAAGAGGCGGAGTTCATTATTTCGCTCATAACTAATACACGTCCAAGTAAATCTTACTTATTAACACATGATTTGATAATTAATTTCAGGTAGTTACACAGCACTTGCCAATCATTAATTAAATAGTCTCAGTGAGCTGATCTAAAGTCAGCACCGTCTAAGCCACAGGTGTCAAAGTCAAGGTCCGGGGACCAGATCCGGTCCGCCACATCATTTTATGTAGCCTGTGAAAGCAAATCATATGTGTCAACTTCCATGACCCTTGCTTAAATCTGCACCGAACTCTCAAATTATCATGTGTAATGAATAACTGACATTTTGCGATAACTTTGTGACCCGGTTTACACTCACTTGAACAATAATTGAACAAATACTTGACTGATTTCAAAACTAGTGAGCCAGTTTTTTTGTGTACAAGTAATAATACGATGTGATGATTAAACATTTATTCGGTTTCACTGTCGTAACGGCCCTCCAAGGGAAGGCATAATTCCAAAGTGGCCCACGACAAAGCAAAAAAAAGTTTGACACCTGGTCTAAGCCTTATAAAGCATTTAGCGATGAGATGTCAAGACTCACAAAGCCTGAAGACTCAAACAAAGCTGTTATCTTAACAGATAGAGGAAGCCACAACAGAAAGAGATACAAAACAGTTTTGCATCAATATTTGTTTATTTATATTTAGATCAACCAGGGTAAAGAAGGCCACATAAAAACTCGCCAACGCCAATAGTGGAACACAAATCATAGAACACATTTCAGTCATACTTTAAAGTAAAGAAAACTCAAAATTATTTGCAACAAATAAAATATACTGTATACACACACACACACACACACACACACACACACATATGTATACACATACATACTTTTGCTATACTCAACACATGAAAAATATAAATAAAAATCTTGATTTAAAAAAAAACACGCAATTTCAATCAAATCTGACGAATTTCAAAAATGAACATTTCCCCCCCCCCATCTTCCAAACACTGGACGGTATCAGTGGTAAGTTATCACTTTTAGGGGAAGCAGCTTTCCGGAAACCTTGTAAGCCAGGGGTAACCAACCTTTTTGAAACTAAGAACTCCTTCTTGGCTGCTGATTAATGCGGAGGGCAGCCAGTTTGACAGTATGCAATTTTGGAAGAAATTAAGTTCAAACTACCTTCATATGTTATATTTCATGATGAATGATATTAATTTATGAGAAGACACTGATCACATCAGCGATTTCTCATAATAATTATGAAATGGATAAATATCAATTGGCCACACCTTATTCGAAATATCTGCCAGTGTTCACATTTTGAAATGGGCGCTTCTACAATATTCCTGGAGAGTCACAGTGTCTAATCACTGGTGAGTTATTTTTGTAATAGGCCCGCGGGCTACTCATGTAGTCTTTGAGGGTTCCCTGGTGCCCTCGGGCACCACGTTGGTGACCCCCGTTTTAAGCTTTTACCGTGTCTGCTATTTCTGGATAGTCCTGAATTACAGTGGCAAACTGTTTGGCAAACACACAGAGTTTCACCTGACTGTTCAACTGGAGCAGTAACAACAATCGTGTTCCGATTCACCTCAACACGCTTGAAAGCAGCAGACATGGTCCCTCCTCGACTGAACAGCCTGAGAACTTTTTTGGACTGGGACACCACCTGATCCGGAGTTTGGGCTGCCATTCAGAGGACAAAGAATTTGTCTTATCCACTGTAAAACATGATTGGATTTGCATATCATCAGCCACACAGCATAGGGGTTGTCAGAACCATCAACAATGAACAATAAATATCTTGTCTCTTTGGTGTATTCAAATAAATATAGGTTGAACATGATTTGCAAATTATTGTATTCTATTTTTATTCATGTTTAACATAACATCCCAACTTCATTGGAATTGGTTTTGTAGCTTCACAATTGATGATACCGAGATAATATACTCTTGAGTGGTTGATGCGGCGGCGCCGGTGGTAGACTGGTTAGCACATATGCGTCACAGCATGTAGGTCCGGGGTTCGAATCCAGGGTCCGGCCTCCCTGTGTGGTGTTTGTGCGTTCTCCCAGTCCTGTGTGGGTTTTCTTCCACGTTCCCAGAAAAACATGTATGGTCGGTTAACTGGACACAATGAGTGTGAATGGTTGTAAGTTTATGTATGCCCCGCGATTGGCCGGCAACCAGTTCAGGGTGTACCCTGTCGTCTGCCAGAAGACGGCTGGTTCGGATAATGAATGGATGATAAAGAGTGAAGTCTAGATCTTTGAGAGTTTCTCCTTACTCCATACAGGGATCCTAGCATAAAATGCGCACTGATAAATGTTTTCAACGATAAAAAACAAAACATCTGTCCAAGTGGCAACATAAGATGGTTCGTCTCTGGTTTTAGCGGCCAGGGGCCTGTGCTATTGATAGTCCATTAATATATAACTCCGTGCTCTATCCCAAGTCAATAAGAAATTATTTCCGTCACGCAGGCTAGAAAATGAAACAACCTTTCAACCCTCTTATTTAAGCCACCATCAACATGTCCATGCTTTCAACGTTCCACCACCCAATCAAGAAAATGAAACATCCTTTCTAAATACAGGACCGGATGTGGAATTGATTTACAAATCAACTATAACACGCAAAAAGTGAAAGGAACATAACAAACACCTTTATTGCTGCCCACCTACTTTATCCAGATTTAACTGTCCTCAGTTGCATGTATCCTGTTACATTGTTACAATGTGCTTACAATCCACGTGAGGCTAAATAAAATGGCAAGGTAAAAGATTAATGCAAATATTAATACAAAGCAAAAAGTTAAACAAACTCAGAACGGTGTCACAAATCAATATGGATAAAAGACATGTACACAGTAGTTTGGAGACAATAACGCAAGCATATGAAGAAAACTGGAGAAATAAGTAGTTATACTACGTTTACATTATGTTCCAGCGCAGCCCCATTTTGCTGAAACAACAACAACAAAAAATTCTACGTTAAGTTTTCTCGGAGCTTGGCACAGTAACCATGACAAGCCGTGGGTGGAAAAGGCTGGCGAAACCCAGAGTCCGAAAGATGCACTCCGGATGCCAGTATGTCCCCCTCATGGTTTTCACATTCTAATCAAGGTCTGACATAGGGATGGGGAATTTAGATGTTTACAATTCCGATTCCATTATCACGTTTGTTTAACGATTCAATTTTTTATTCACTCCCTTATTGATACTTTTTTTGGGGGGGAGTGGGGGTAGATCAGCATTCACTTTTTCTTACACTTCTATTTGTAAACAAGCGACATTTTAAAAAGTAACATGACCTTAAAAGCCTAACTGTGTGGTCTGAAGAGGTCCACATACTCGGACTCCTTGATGGGGTGTGGCTGTTATTCTGTGGGAATTGATAAAATTCAACCTAGATTATCCTGTGGCAATTACATCACAATAGGGGTGTTCACACGGCACACATTTACATCGGTGCTGCACCGATGTATTTAGTTGCGATATATCTTATACCGGTGTAAATTTTGTGGAGCGTTCACACATATAAAACTGCTTACTAAAGAGAAGCGTGTTAACCCCAGTGCAGCCCTACTTGCGTTCACACGGCAGTTTCTGCGGCCGTGCAATGCGGAAATAAAACATGCGCATGCGTAAAGTGAACTTCCTTTTCCCCGCCTTGTTTGTGACATATCGAAAAACCATGGTTTATACTTCTCTAGACAAATCAATGCTGTGGTCTATCAGACACCATAAAAGGATGAGAGAGAGAGAAAGGAAAGAAGTGCAAAATACCCAGGATGCAAGTTATGCACTACCCGTATGTAATCGACTCTTCTCACGCGTAGCGAGTCTATCCCTGTAGCGTTCACACGTCCCATTTGATATCGGCGCTGCCCCGCAAACTAGCATTTACTCCGGAGTAAATTTTAAACCACCTCCTGAGCAGGGTTAAATTTGCTCCGGTTTAAGCTGTTTTCAGGGGCTACACCAGTATAACTTTGTACGTGTGAACGCTCTACGGGGGACAGCCCCGGTGCTACACCGGAGTAAAAGTTGCCGTGTGAACACCCCTAATGTCCAGTAAGATTTCAACACTCACATATGATATAAATCAACTTGGTCAGCCAGTGACAAATAAAATCAACTCAAGTCCATTTGTGATCTGGGAACTCACTCTGCCCTGCCTCGGTGAAAGGAGAAGCTAGCTAGCGGTAGACTGAACGGAGTGCTGCCAGGCGATGAGCGAGTCAGCCTCCGTCTATCATCACGCAAAAGGTTTGAAATAAGTTTGAAATGGCAGTAACATAGTTAACTGGAGTTTTGACAGGAGAGGATGTGGCTACGTTGCCACCGCTGCTAGGTTGGGTACGCCAAAGCGCAGCAAAAGCACGACCGTCATCAAGCTTTCACATGAAATAATATAATGAGTGGGTATTGCAAAGTGCCCTGTTGTTCACCAGTCTTGTAAAAGGTAAACCAACTTTTGAGCATCCAGTGCCATGTTTCTTACTGGGCGTCCTAGTAAATGCTATGCAACGTGCGCGGTGATGTCATGCGGCCTGATTGAAATGGATAAGAGATTACTTGACAAGAACGGCAAATGAATTTAAATTTCAAATTTCAAAGGAATTTAAAACTCTGGGAACCAGTTCGTAACAAGAACCAGTTATCGATGCCCATCCCACATTTTTCACATTCTGTTCAGAATTTCTACCTACACATGGACGCCAGGTAGCTTTGGAGAATATTTGTTGTATATATGATAGCTGCTCCATGTACAGCACTTTGTATGCAGCGATGGCTGTTTGAAAGTACTATAAATACAGTTGAGTTGAGTTTGTATATATGTACTGCCACAGGAACATAATGTAAACGTCGTATTAAGGCCTTTTCACACTGCACTTGTTTTTTGGGGGTAGCGCGCAACAACAAGCAAGCCAGTATTTAGAAGTGCTTGTGTAGCAACAGAGAGTACGAGAAAGTAACAGGGAGGCTAGTCCTGCTGTTCGCACTCTGAAATCACTCCGCTAGCCCCTGATTTTTCAATTTGAGAGTGGTATTACAGTGACGTCAGCAGGCACCTACTTTGTGCAACGCGACGTTCCATCCTTGTAGCACATAAGCAATGAATGGCTTGCTCAATGGCGCGCTGCGGGTTGCTAAGTGCAATGTGGAAAGGCCGTCAGTCAGTCATCACATGGAGCTTTCTAAAGAGACTGCTGAACTAACAGCTGTAGGAGGAAGGTATTTGACGACCGGTTCATCGCTTTCAAATGAAATGCAATGAAGATTGGCATAAAATAAGTACTTTTAAACCCTTAAAAATATTAAAGGTGTCATTTTCAGACAATGGGTTGAATATTTAGGACAATATTCAATTATTTCCTTATACATCATGCACGCTTGACAAGCCTCACGAGTCTCAGTCAAAGCATTTCAAGTACTGTTTTGGCCCGTGTGCGGTTGTCTTCAAAAAGCTGCTCCTCAAAGCCTTTTCACTGTGGGTCCGTACTGGATGATCCCACAATTCCATGCTGACGTAGCACATTCCTCAGGATCTGATTCTTGGATTTCCAGTCTTCTACCTGAGAAAAAGAGATGTCGACAGCAAAGCAGGCACCAGTTAACAGAGGTAACACTTTTTTTGAACAGTAATGGGGAATTACTCTGCAAATCTGCCTAATGCTGCGGTCGACAATGCAAGACGAGTTTTTCTGGTGTCATATTTCCAATTTTACAAGGTCTGACGGGACGACAACGCTAGCTTCCATTAAGCTGCCAGAAAGGAGAAAAGGGCTGCATAATGGTGAGTGCATTGATTTGTCTCCAATTTTTGAACTCTCAACCAAAGTAGCATTTAGCATGGCCCACAGTAATAACACAACCACCGGTCATCAGATTGACTATCAATGTTCAAACTCTTTTCTCCATCCACCAACAAAAGCAAGCGAGATACGTGGCACGACCCGATACTTTATGCCCGGTCTGCACCTTGCATGATAGCAAAAGCAATCATAGCAATGGGTAGTCACTAGGCTCAGGCAGGGCTGGGCAGTGAATCGAAACTTAATCCTGATTTGGATTTTGGCTTCTCGCAATCATAAAAAAAAAAAAAAAAAAAAAAAAAAAAAACTTGCCGAAGGGCTGTTTGTGTCTTGAAGTTCCCGACATTGTGAAAGTACCCATAATCCACCATGTTAGTTCCGCAAAAAGCACGTAGCATGCATATGACTCTGCCCTGTCTGATCATGCTTTTAATTGTTTGACAACCCAGTTGGCGTTTACCGGAAAAAAAAAAAAAAAACACACACACACACAACTAAAAGAATTTCATACATTGCTTAAATTCGAGACATGATTCATTTTAAAAAACATTTCCAATGATAATGCTCTACTGTCAATGTAAAATCTTATTGACATGCTAACGGGAGCAATAGCATCAACTTTCAGACTGATACTTCAAATAATGAATATTCACACACAGACACTGTACAAACACACATTATAGGCAATAAGACTAAACTAAAAATCGTACGTTCTTCCTAATCTGTGAAAAGCGGGTTATATGAATGGAGATCAATTGTAACTTTCTTCTACTCTCATTATCGCATTGTATGTACCCCATACATGCGCAGCACCACAATGCTCAGAAGAGGCCAACACTTGCGCAGCAGGAACATCTGGTATTAACAGTATTTTTATTACCATATTTTCCGCACTAAAAGGCACTTCGGATTGTAAGGCGCACCTTCAATGAATGGCCGATTTCAAAAATGTTTTCATATAAAGGGCACACTGCATTATAAAGCGCATACAATAAAAGCTATAATAATGGCTGCGATTGCGCTATGCATTCACCAGATGGAGATATGCTAAAGGGAATACAATACAATACAGTACCCTTTTAGGTTACAATTGGTTCCTGCTTATAATCACCACTAGATGGCATATGAATACTAACAGGGAAACAACTCAATGTGGAATGTAAAGAGACTTATGTAACATACATAAGGCGCATCATATTATAGCACTGTTGGCTTTTGGGAAAATCAAATGCTTTTAGGTGCACCTTATAATGTGGAAAATACGGTATATACTGTGTATAATATTGGTAATGAAAACAGTCGACTTTAATGAAATTTGATAAGATTGTGTAAATTGCTTAATTCTCCCGTTGTGACCTCATTTTTTGACAATAGACTCGCATCTTGCTCAAAATAGTGATTTGCCATTTCGCATGATGCCTTCAAGTTTTGTAGGCACGGTGGTCCAGAAAATGGTTCTTAATTATACGAATGTCTCTCTCTCTCACACTAACATACCTCCTGTCGGAGAAGCTGATTGTCAATCCGAAGTCGATCGAGGGCGCTGAGATCTTCCCCCAACTTCAGGTTGCTCTGTCGGAGTTCCTTGATGTAGTCACAGGCTTTGGACAATATTCCCCCTTTACTCTAAGACAAAATGGGAAGAGTGATTAGTTAACATCCCCGTGTTACCTTAATCATGTTATAAAGTGATTTTTATAGCCTTCATGCTGTATTTCACAGCTGACGTGTCCCTTTTTAAACAAATTGTGATCCCTCAACTGACCCTAGAGAATCTGAATGGACTGAATGGAGCATTGAACAGAACCCAGCACACCTGTCCCGTCTTGGTGTAATCAATGTTGCAATCTGGTATTGTCTTCGACAGCTGCACGATCCAGTTATTGATTTTGTCCCGACGTCTGCGCTCAACTGGGGGGAGAGATGGAAGCAAGTTTTCTTGATCAAGCTGACTTCCTCTTGTATATAAAGTGCCGGTCAAAATTTCTAACCTTCGTTGTGCTGCGCACGGCGTTTCTCATCCCTGGAACCACGAGGAGCCTCTTGTTTTCTAGGAACCACAACATATCATAAGATGATGGGTAATTATGCTTAAATTGTGGTAAATAATAATATATAAGTACGCTATGTATGGTTGAGTGCGAGGTGCAATTGTCCTTTGACTGGATCCTGTCAAAACCTCCTGGGGTGACATCATCACATAGAGCTGCCCTGTAACAAAAATAAATAAATAAATCATAAGATTCAAGGATGAACGGACCAGGTGCAATTTTGCAAATCTTTAATGTTTTGGAACACGTGTAAACTATTATTTTATTGCATTCTTTTTTTACGTATCGACATAGCTGACTGAGTTTGGTTACCCGTGGGTGTAGTCTGGCTGAGCAACGTGTCAGATGCCTGCACTGTGGTCACCATGGTCCCCGTTGTGGCGTCAGCGATGCTGGCAGGATAGTATGTGTACTGTGTCTCAGTGGTGCCATCTCCTTCAAGCCCTTCTGACTGGGAGAAGACAGCCTGGGGTCCAAGAAACATTGATTACAACAAAAAATTCTACTAATGTGGTCAAACAGTCAACGAATCGCACCACTGGACAATCAATTCATTGTATCCATTTGCTGAACTGGCTGAACTGCTTCAAACTAATATGCGATAATAAAGTGGCGCATTCAAAGTCAAACACTTTTTGGTTTAAAAAGAAAATAATCAAGAGAAAAAAAAATTTAAATGAGGAAATTATATGAATGAACTCATTCACTGCCATGTAGTTGATATTCGTCAACGTGGTTCAACTGTTTAATGCCATTGACAAATCTATTCGTCAATTATATTTTTCACTGAATTGGATGGAGCTTGTCTATGAAACTGAAGCTTCTACATACAGTAAATGTAACGACAAACAGACATCAGCACAGGTTTTGAGTTGAAAATAAAAGATTAAGGAATGGCGCTTGGGTTGTCACAGCAATTAAGAGTGAGAGAAACGCCAATACGGTGGAAGTCAGACATTTTTAGGCACCCGACACTCAAACAGTATGTATATGTACCGAGAATATAAACAAAGAATGTATTGCCGAAGGGAGTGACGAAAGCCGGACGTGGCTTTGGGAAGGAGTGGCACCAAAAATAGATCATCAATATCCTGTGAGTACCTGCGATAAAATATTTGTAATATAGCAGTGCCATAAGCAGGAGCTTAGGTTAGTTAAAACGAGTGTACTAATTGGCTCAATTTGCCCGTTTGATGAGAACATCATGCATCGCACTCATACATTTTGGCGACACTGTTAAAACGTGGAAGTGTGACAGCATGTGAAAGGTTACTTTTATAAAGTCATTCTCCGTGAAACATGCCCAAATAGAGACAAGCGTTTTGATTCTGAAACAGATGAGAATTTTTCCAAGAAAAATTTCAAGCCATTCATTCATCAACCCCTCCAAGGTTGGCAGGCGATGCAGTTTCAGGGTGAGGCCAAGCCTGTGACCTTAAATATTTCAAAATCTTTTGTAAATATCATTTTTTTATTATTTCATATATAATATTTCCGAATTTCGTAACAGAAGTGTACCGCAACCTATGTGGTCTCAATATGGAGGGGTAGCGGCTCGACTCTTGCGTCCCTCCCTGATGACCGAGCTTCTCACCCTATGTCGATGGGAGAGCCCGGACACCCTGCGGAGGAAACCCATTTCGGCCACTTGGATCCAGGATCTTGTTCTTTCAGTCACAACCCACAGCTCATGACCAAAGGTGGGAGTGGGAAAGTAGATCGACCGGTAAATAAAGAGCTTTGCATTTCGGCTCAGCTCCTTCTTCACCACGACAGACAGACACAGAGTCTGCATCACAGCAGACTCTGCACCAATCCGCCTGTCGATCTCACGATCCATCCTACCGTCATCCTACCCCAAGATACCTAAACTCCTCCACTTGGGGCAGGATCTCATCCCCAAACTGGAGAGGGCACGCCACTGTTTTCCGACTGAGGACCATGGCCTCAGATTTGGAAGTGCTGATTTTCATCCCAATTGCATCACATTTGGCTGCAAACTGCTCCAGTTCGAGATCACGGCTTGAAGAGGCCATCAGTACCACATCATCTGCATAAAGCAGAGATGCAATACTGAGGCCACCAAACCGGGCGCCCTCAACGCCTAGAAATTCTGTCCATAAAGTTTATGAACTGATTCGGTGACAGAGGGCACCCTTGGCGGAGTCCAAACCTCACTGACAACAAATCCGATTTAACTGCCGGCAATGCGGACCAAACTCTGACATTGACGGTACAGGGACCGAACAGCACAGCCCGTATCAGGGGGCTCATTATGCCACACTTCCAAAGCCCCCCCCCCCCCCCGACAAAAACTCCCCATGGGACACCGTCGAACGCCTTCTCCAAGTCCACAAAACACATGTAGACCGTTTGGGCAGACTTCCATGCCCCTTCGAGATCCCTGCTGAGGGTGTAGAGCTGGCCCACTATTCCACGGACGGGACGAAAACCACATTGCTCCTTCTGAGTCCGAGATTCAAGCTCCCAACCGACCCTTCTCTTCATGTATTTCATATTCCCCCTGAAGGCTTGGCTCTGTCAATGGGTCTGCAGATACCTGAGGATTGTCTTCAGGATCAACAAAAAATATATCTACAAACCACACAGAGGGAAATAACAGTCCCAAAACACTACAGACACACATAGAACTCCTAAATTTATGTGAATATGGGCTCCGACAATGCGGTGTTAAATTATAAGTGTGTGGGATAGCGGTTGGTACACAATGTCGGTTGACTCACCTGTGTGACAGCCTGAGTGGTTGCAGGGAAACCAGTGACCAGACTCACTGCGGCACCTCCATCTGCCTGACCCTCTAACTGGCTGTCAGACACCTGGATCACTCTGTATGTTACCTAGAAGCAAACACAATTGCCAAGTGTCGCATTACATCTAAACAGACAACACATAGACACAAGAAGCACATACAAAATGCGGCTCTGAGACATTTAGGTTATCAGTGAGTGGGTCAAAACTGCCAAGACTACTCAGGAGTTTGGCAATCAAGTAATGTGAAATGTAGGATTTTAAAACAAACATTTGGGAGGTGTTGATTCAAATACATGTATTTATTATTTTTGGTTATGTATGTGCAGGAATGGTCGACTCGGTGGTCGTCTGGTTAGTACATCGGCCCCACAGTGCCGAGGTACAGGGTTCGATTTCGGCTCTGACCTTCCTGTGTGGAGTTTGGATGTTCTACCCGTGCCTGCGTGGTTTTTTTTTCAGGTACTCTGGTTTCCTCCCACATCCCAAAAACATGCATGGGAGATTAAGGGAACACTCTAAATTGTCCCAAGGTGTGAGTGGGAATGGTTGTTTGTCTGTGTGCCCTGTGAATGGCTGGCCACCAGTTTGGGGTGTCCCCCGCCTAATACCCCGAAACAGCTGGGATAGGCTACAGCACGTCCCACGGCCCTTGTGAGGATAAGCGGATTAGAAAATGGATGGATGGATGTGCAGGAACACGGGTGATTGTAAACCACATTTAAAAGAGATTCCAATTAAAACATTTTATATTAGACTGGTATAAAAATCTAAATATTTCACAATAATTAAATCAACTCCGGGATAAGATATTTGGTTCACAAAAAAAAAAAAAAAAAAAACGGCATCTTTGTTGTAAATACAAAAAAACAATATATCCACTGTGGCACTCAACGACTGGACTGTATCTAAGGTCTCGCTTTCCTGCATTTGTTGCTACTGGTAGGAAAGTGCCTTTTTTAACTTAAAAGCATCGTTGTAAAGATTTAAGAAAGCTTAATGCGACAATTGCAGCCTTCAAGGGACATTTGAATGGCTTTTTGTTACATTGTACTACAATCATTGTGACAGTAGCAGTGAAGCAGCAACGTATGTACACAATGCTCTTCTTACAGAAATACCAGCCAACAGCAACAACAGCACAGGGTTTGCAAAACATTTTGTGGACAGCTTCTCCTCAAGACCAACATATGCAAAAATCTACTGCCACATTAAAATACTTTGATCCACTCAATTTCCATACCGCTTGTCCTCATTGGGTCATGGGTGACAAAATGCCTTTAACAGCTCATTTTACTCTTGAGATGGGGTGCATCCTGGACTGGTCGCCAGCTAGTTACAGGACAACCATTTCCCCTCCTAACCAGACTGAAAGGCAATTTAGACTCATCGATTAAACCAAACACGCATTTTTTTTTTTTTTTTTTTATGTGGGAGAAAACTGGAGTACCCAGAGAAAGCAAACATAGGCAGGACATCCAGATTCTTCTCAGGAAGACTGGAGCCGTGATCGGAACCCTGAACCGGAGACCTGTGAGACAGATTTGATCACATCCAGTGCACTGTTCTGTCCTTAACCTTTACATGTCAAACATTTTAAAAATAAAGAACAAGACATGATCACAACAAATATGGATTTTGATGATGGCGAAGAACATGTATGACAAGACTCGTTCCTACTTGTCCAACTCCTCCCTCTGTCTTGAATAAGTATTTGATGGGTTGATCTGTGAATGTGGAAGCAGACTGGATAGCTGCAATTGCAGCTGGATCTTCTGCAGTGGCGACTGAGCCTGTCGCAGCACATAACCACAAGCAGGATGTTTATTAGAAACAGCTTTTAAAAATTAAATGAATCTGTACATTATAGACTGTACACACGTGCACGCACGCACGCACACAATGCAGGCAAGTCATCTCATTTTAGATTGGGGTTTAATAAAAACAGTATGGCCAATTTACACATTCAAAGATCTGACACAAAAGGGCACAATATCAGTCAACTCTATAATTATTAAATTGACGGTACTGCACTTCAATATTTTCTTTCACACATAACTTAGCAGTCGATTTCACCTTCTTCGTTGGCAGTAGTACTCCCATCTGCATCAGGGCTTTTTTGTTGGCTGTAAGAGAATGCAAATGCTTGTATTGAACTGTACTAAACACGCTGCGTAAACACGTGACTGCTTTTGATTGTTTCGTTTTCTTTCAAGGAACACAGGTCCCACTCACTCACCTCTTCATTTCTGGCGACAGTCCTGGACAAGGAGACCGTCTTCACTTGCTCCCACAGCCACACTGAGGAGAGCGTTCATGAGTTTGACAGAAAACCCAGAGATGACTTCCAATCCAACTTCAAGAAACAAGCTGTGTGTGCGTGTATGTGTTGCGAAACGACTTTACAGCTCGACTGCATTTTCAACTAAAGGAAACTACTGTGTCGTTTCGCCGTAGCGGAAAGGATGGTTTCTGCGCTCGAAATTAGATTGAAGGCAATTTAAGATAAAATACAGCCGCACTACAACAAAACACACTTTAGCAGTGACATTACAATGTTATTTGTATTTTATTTGAACAATTTCAACGAATATGAACGAATGTGATGAATATTGCATGTACTTTATGGATCCCAACCGGAAGTTACGCTTTTTAGCTAGCTGGACTAGATCCTTCCTGATGTCTACAATGTTCGGCCCCAGCGGTTCTTTGCAGATGTTTCCCAAAACATTTTACCTTATGGGTGGCAAATAGATGGACATTGCAATGATTCATACCACCAGCCTAAAGTTAGTTATAAATCGATAGGCTATGCACAGTCAGCTACATTTTGGGACAGCATTTTTCACTGTGACGAACAAAGATCTACTTACGCCGAGGTCTGGACCCTCCCACAACATTTATCAAGAGCATAAATGCTGACTATACGCATGCGCGACAGGAACTAACGTCAATGTAGACGTCATTGTTGTTTACCTTCAACCGTCCCCCTCCTCGCATGTAATATTAATGTATATATAATGTCGATCCATCCATTTTCTGCAGCGCCTATTCTCAAACTGTTGTGACGTTTATTTTGCTGGTATGACATTGTCTTTCTTGTATTTAATACCATGGCAAATTATTTTTGCAAAAGGTTGAAAGAGTAATGAAAAGAACCACGGGATGTCAGTGTATCATCGGTTTTACGATATCATGGATTCTGCACTTTTAAGTTAAAAACACAATTGAAGAAGCAATGGAAATTTTACTTAACGTGCACCGCTATTGCTGTATTTCTAATGTACAGTATGTGTAGAGTACTGCCCCCTGCGCACCCGACAGAAGTCAACATTCACACGCTGTTTCACAAGAACCAATAAGAGTCACTGTTGAGTAACTGACGCGAGTGGTCTTGAAATCTTATTTTACTCCAGTAAAATTCGTCGTGGAATTATCAATTAGTGAATAATATGTATTTCAAAGGTGAAGAACAACTAAGAGCAAAATATTATATCTACTGTATAACTTATTCCGCTATATACAGTACAGTAGACAGAATGTACTGTACTTCCAATCGCAGTGACAGTATAGTTAATCGGTTTGCCAAATAAAAGTGCCTCGTACCTGTTTCTCTGCGGAAGGAAGGATATGCAACAAAAGTATTATTGGTAAGGTGTATAATATTACTAGAAATAAAATGAATGAGAATTTACTTAACCATAATTCCGTGGTAAAGTAAATTCAGTGTTGTGGCAGTCCGCCACAGTGTCACGAAAAACACATCCCATAGTCGTCTTATCAAAAATCGCCTTTTTATTGAGGACGGAACCACTGAAGTACACCAGTGTTATATGTTGGCAAAACATCTTATTCTTGTGATTCAAATTTCAATTGCCATGAGTCAATATCGAGGTCCGAAGATAGTGCGAAAGAACACTTAACAACACTTAAAGTCTAATAATTAATTGTCAAAGTAAATTTGGTCTCAAAATGAAAAAACAGAACACCCAAAACACTGGACTGCGCCCGTGGTTCGATCCCAAGTAGGGATGGAGAAGAGGCGAATTCTGCGGTAGAATTGATTCTTGGTGAAGTAACCACTGAGCTACACCAGTGCGTCTATTACAGCTGAAAAATACGTACTTATACACAACTCTACTTGTTGTCGGGAGGAACTTAAATTAAGGACACGGGGGACTGTCGACGACAAGGAAGTTTGAACTGAACTATTTGTGGCACTTTGAGTCGTGACAGCGATATTTTTTTCATCGACACAAAGCATATACAGTACATTAGCGAGGGAGACAAAAATCAGTATGGAGGTTAGAAGATGGCCCTGAACAAGATTTAATCACACTTAAAGCCTAATAATAAATTTACAAGGTAATTTTGGTCACAGAATGAAAATAAGGGAACGAAAACACTGCACGGCGCCCGCGGTTCGAGCCCACGTAGGGACGAAGAAGTAACCACTGGGCTACACCAGTGCAGTTGCTATTGCTGAAGAATAGTCAGTTATACGAAACTAGTTGTTGACGTGAGGAAAACGAAGAGAAGGACACGGGAATCTCGACGACAAGGAAGTTGGACGGAACGACTTGTGACACTTTGAGCCAACACTAGATGTCCCGACGTCACCTGGTGGTGAACATGAATCCGCAC